AAGTTGCATGTTAATTATTTAAAGAGTCAAATTTCATTAACTTTCTTTTCTTATTTTTCGTTACTCATTTGATAAAGTAATAATCATGTCACATTTTGTTTCGTATACTTTTTGATCAATTTTTTTAATATGCAAAGTTTATTTTTTTATTTCACCTCAATTGTCTAATATATTGTAACGCCCCAAAATATACCCTAGAATATTAATGAATAAGTGTTCAAATAATCAAATTGTTTTGATTAAAATAAATTGTTGTTGGGCTTTGGGCCGATACGAAATTTGTTTTGACATCTAATATCAAAATCTGGATAAGTCTCATAAAGATAAATCCAAAATGTTGACTAATTGTGTAATCTTGATTGGGAACCTGTGTCAAGGCCCAAATTAAGAATAAATGAAGAAATTGTTTATGATGTAAACATTGAAATGATTTATCATGAAAATAAATAATATGAATGGAATGCTAGAACCTTTTTGAGTAAAGGCCAATTAAACCAATTTTGACTCTGTTAAAGTCAAACACCCAAAAATAATATGTCGGAAAAGTATTACAAATAAATATAAAAATTATATCGTTAGATAGAGTTTAACTGCCCGATCGCAACGGTGCAAACGGAATTCAATTCGGAGAAAGTTGGACCAAAAAGTGTACCCCGACTTAAACCAAAATTGGTCCCAATCAGGGACACTGTGCGAACGGAGCCTCCCAGCGCACTAAGCCGATTGTGAATCTTCCTACGCTCAGCAACCAGTGTCTTCTTCTTCCTCAAATCTACTATATAAATGGAGCTAAGCATTCTCAATTCTTCACCAAAACCTATACTTCCTTGTTATATTCTGTTGCTCAAAGTAAGGAGAACACAGTGGTGCTGTCAATTTGGTGAGAGGTCGTCGGAGCAAGACGTGGTGTTCGCCGGAAGTTTCGCCGGAAAATATTCAAAACTTTCATTTACCTTTGAGGTAAGCCCGTAGATATATCTAGTGATTAGAATGTTCATATAGATCGTTTCTACGTTCATAAACGGTCGTTTGGTTGAGTTTTGTGTTTGACATGCTTGAAGAACCAAGAATCATAAACCATGAAATTGATGTTAAAACTATGAATTAATGATGCCAAAATGATCTATGAACCTTGGAGAACATCTCTATATAGTTTCGTTGAAGTTCGATAACTAAAAATGGTATTTCCGAAATTGGACCCGAACGAAGAAGATGATGAACAATGGCTGAAACACCACTGTCTGGATCGATCCAGGGGCTTGGATCGATCCCCTGGGAGTAATTTTTCATAGTATGGATCGATCCAGAGGGCTGGATCGATCCCCCGAAGTTTTGATCCGAAAATTTGCCCGAAATTGCTATTTTTGAGCTCTAAAATCCTATTTTTGATACCAATTGATTATGATTATTTTAAGGATGATTCTTTACAATAAAAATGATGTTTTTTAACAAATAAAAATGTTATGTGATGCATGACGGTAAGTTCGGGTGTTAACACTTGAAACTAGACTGCTAATTGTTATTGATTATTATGTTGATTGATGATTATGGTAATGATTATTGATTGATAATTATGATGATTAAATCATAATAAATATTCTGATTAAAAATGATAATTGCGAATGATTAAATCATAATGAATATATTGATGGTTGTGAAAATAATATGTACTGTCATGGGTATCTAGAAGACCTCTAAGATATACCCATATTAATGTTGATTTGAAAGGTATCTAGAAGAACTCTAAGATATACCCATATTAATGTTGATTTGAAAGGTATCTAGAAGAACTCTAAGATATACCTATATAAGTTAGGCCTTGCGGGTATGAACCCCGGTGGCTAGGGTTAAAACGTACGTATGGAATCCAAGAACCAAACTTGAGTACCTACTCGTTTGGGGGTACCACCCACCCAACAGTGAACACTACGCTGTCGGTTTTTGGTTGGCCTTAAGCGAAGGTAAGTTTAAGATTTTCAAAACCCTTTTATCTTAAACTAGGCCTAGCTTAAGGATTTTTTAGCAATATTTTATACTGGAATATAGTTTAATTATTTAAACTAGAATTCGTGTAAGGGTTGACAAATATTAAAGTGATTGGCCTTAGGCTAAGAATAGTTTAAGGATATTGTTGAATGTTGAATGTTGAATATTGAATATGAATAAGTGAAATTTGCTCTAAATAGGACTAAAACATAATGATTTTCCTAATGTAGGACTTAAACTTTTTTATTCCCTAAATAGGACTTAATAATGACTTTGTGAGAGGAATAATGTTCAGTAATGATGGACATTCACTTGAATAATGATTACTTGATAATGACCAAAAGTCCTACATTGAGAAATAAAAACATATGGTCCTATATTGGGAAAGTCATTATGTTTTAGTCCTATTTATGTAAATTACTCTATGAATAAATATTGAATGATGAATATTGAATTGAATATTGCAATTATTATGAATGACTAGTGAACATTGAATGTGAATATAAATGTTGAATAATGAATAATTTTAAATAATTATTGATTATCTGAACTGAATATTATGTGTATGATATCAAATGATTTGATTATGAATTTAGATTTAGTTTATATGGATGTTCGATGCATTAGATATGCTTACTCAGCTTCAACGCTGAGCGTGTAGTATGTTTTATTTGCTACACGCAGGTTATTAGAAAGAATGAAGTAACGTGGTCCTGGAGACAGACGGAGGCGAGATTGTCGGAATGGATGTGATGGTTTTTAATTAAAGAACATAATAAATTATGTTGTAATTATGATTTGGTAAAGCTTCCGCAATATTGAAAACTCCGTACTGTTTATATTATGAAAAATATTATTATGATAAATAAAAGTGTTTGAAATGTTTTAAATTTTTACGATTACCAAGTTAATACTTTAGTCCGAAAGGGGCTGCAGACCTGGACGGATTAGGGTGTTACATATATTGTGTTAAAAAGAACTTTAGTCAAATATAAAAAAAACATGCAATTTAAATTATGACAAAACAATACCGGCCATGAAATGATGCTTGCATTAGACATGCTCTTGTATTTTGGATGGCATTAAAGAACTCGCAAAAGTCAAAGGAGAGTACATTGATCGAGGGAGGTGAGTGAGTAACTTTTCATTAAAGATTTGGGTCATGCTACACTTATACCAAAAATTGTACCTCATTTGTACACCGTAGTTATACACAAGCATTTTAATGATTTATACCAACGCAAGTGTTGGTGCGTTAACAAAAATTTACACGGATACAAAGTGTTGGTGCGTTAACAAAAATTAGTTTTACACCAACACAAAATATCGGTGCAAACCTGCGGTGTACAAATGAGGTACAAAAGTTTAGGGTATAAATAGTTTTATCCCTTTTCATTTGGTGTAATACTACCTCTGTCCCAGGGTATTTGTCCACTTTCATTTTTACACACCATCCAATACATTTCTTTAATTCATTTTATCTTGTAATTTAAATATTAAAAAATTATAGAAAGTATATATATTAATAATCTATATATTAAGACAAATCAAACAAGATCACACATGACTATATTTAGGCTTACACATTGAGAGAATTTGATGAGTCAAAATGCTTAGATGAACAGTCCAAAAGTCAAAAGTGGACAAATATAGCGGGACGAGAGGAGTAGGTAGGAAGACTGGAAGAGTGCCATGGCCCATTAACCTTAGTTAGATAAAATCAATAATTGATAAATTAACCTTAGATAAAATCAATAATATATATATTGATGCAAAAATGACATTTTAAATTTATCTTATATAATATTTTCAAAATATTATTTTATCTAAATAATATTTCATACTCCCTCCGTCCCAAAAAGATTTACACGTTTCAAAAAAATTGTGTCCCACAATCCCTTATCCATTTCTATTAAAAAACCACTTTTATCTCTTACTTTTTCAAACCCTACCTATCACATCATACCTTTTTCCTAATAATCTACAGATCACATCCTACTTTTACCCATCACATCAAGGGTATTTTTGGAAAGTCAACACAAAATTATCCCTCCCTTAATTTCAACTTTAGTCAAAATGGGTAACACTTTATGGGACGGAGGGAGTATATTTTTATTTATTTGGAGATTAATGGTGTATTCTACTTCAGCGCAAAAAGTCAAAACATTACAAATTTATACTCCATTCCCGTTCCCCTTTGAATCTTTCTAATGAGACTTTCAAAATCAATTTTTTAAACTTTTACTATAAATTACGAAAAAAATATATTGGATTGTGATATAAATTTAATATTAATAGTTACAGTTTGAATATTTCATTTTTATAATGCTCTCTCCGTCTCCAAAAGAATTACCTTCTTACTATTACGGTCTCTCGATAACTTTTGTTTATTTGTATGTTTTCATTATTGATCATTTGATAATATATACTACTCCATAATATTCTTGTCGATCACCTGGTGTTTTAAATTCAAAACTTTTACTATCTTTTATTTCTTTATCAATTTGTAAATAAAATTATTTTAAAAGTTACAAGGGACATATAAAGTATATATATTTCTCTATAAATAAAATAAAGATAATAATGATCAAATTGTTGCATTAAAAACCGTGAAAAAGGTATGTGAAAGTATATGTATTAAAAGGAGGCTCACATATACTACTTCCGTTTATCAAAAGAGTTCCTCTTTTGACTTTGGAGGAAAATAAGGAAATGTTAAATTGTAATTGACTTTCCAATTTTGCCCTTGATGTGATGGGTAAAAGTAAGATGTGATAGTTTAGTTGTTAGTGAAAAAGTATGATGTGATAGGTAGGGTATGAAAAAGTAAGGGTAAAAGTGGTTTTTTAATAGAAAGAGGAAGTGTTTTAAGAAAAACAAAAAAAATGAAAGAGGAAGGGTTTTAAGAAACGGATGGAGTATATGCATGAAGGGCAATATATATATAAAATGCAGAGTTGCAGGCGCGCGGCAGTATTTACTGCGTAGAGCTGAAGAAACAGAGTACAGCTGAACCCATTTACAACGAACCCAACTACCACTAGCTAGCTACTGCACGCACGCACCTCTCTATATATAAAGAAAAAAAAAGAAGAATTATATTATTGAAGAAGCTAAGCTAATAATTAGGTAGGCATTTCCTTCATGGGGAGGGAGATGAATCAGATGATGATGGGCGCCGGCGGCATAAGGTCGTCATCATCGGTGTTTTTGTTGTTGGTTATTATTATTATGGTTGGCGTGGTGAGAGGTGGTGGAGGAGGAGAAGAAGAAGGGAGGGCGGCGGCGGCGGGGGGCGTGCAGATGATGATCAGTACTGCTAGGGTTCCGGCAATGTTCATATTTGGGGACTCTTTGATTGACAATGGCAACAACAATAACCTGCCTTCCTTTGCCAAGGCCAACTATTTCCCTTACGGGATTGACTTTGATGGAGGCCCCACCGGCCGCTTCTCCAATGGCTTCACCATGGTTGATCAAATCGGTATGGTATATATATATATATATATATATATATATATATATATATATATATACACACACACACACACACACACATATATATATATATACTCCCTCCGTCCCAAAAAGATCTTCCTGTTTCATTTTTTGCGTATCCTATAAAACACTTCTACACACATCTAAAATGCCTAAAATTTACCATATTTTTCATTTATTGTGAGTAGAAGTTGTTTTGAAAGTTTTTTTTACATTTGAGACGGGATAGAAGTGTTTTATGAGATGCGCAAAAATTGAAACAGGAAGGTCTTTTTGGGACGAAGGGAGTATATATATATATATATATATGCACCTTACCTTACCTTATGTTTATCAAATTTTTTTTATATCCTATTTATTATAATAAATAGTACTCCCTCCGTCCCTATATAAACTTTCTCTTTCGTTTTTTCTTTTTCCCCAAATAAACTTCTCTTTTCCCTTAAAAAACCCCTTTTACCCCTTACCTTTTCATACCCTACCTATCACATCGTATTTTTTTCCTAATAATCTAAATATCACATCTTACTTTTACACATCACATCAAGGGTATTTTTGGAAAGTCAACACAAAAATATCTCTCCTTTAAATTCTCAAAAAGTCAAAAATGGAAGTTTATCTAGGGATGGAGGGAGTATGAAATATATAATGCCGAGTATTATTATTAATTTATTATTAACTTTTTATTGTATTCTATCCTCCTCTTTTCAAATTTCACTTTATTATACTCGGTATCACTACCTCCGTCTCTGAATATTTTTTAGTTTTAACTTTTTTTGATCAACTATTTTCAACCTTTTACTTATATTAAATGAAATATATATTGTATATTAATTAGATAAAATAATATTTTGAAAAATTTTTGATATAATAACTCTAATAAAACTTTTTTTTGTATCAGCATCTAATACTATTTTTATTTAATTTGAAGTCAAAGTTTACTAGTTTGGACCGAAAACCTCAAAAGTGGATAAATACTCAGGGACAGAGGGCGTATATTGTACGACAAGCTTTCCGTCAATATCTCTTTAAGTTGTTTACTAATAGGCCAAATAGCACCAGTACCCCATGATTTGGAAAATAGGCACCAATTTTCTTTTTGTTTTCAAAATCTATTTTCAAAGTGTCTGCGGTTTCAAAATGTTACACCCATACCCCATCTGATCATTTTCCGGCGAAAAAAGGACATCTATTTTCAAATGTATAGGAATGCTGGTGTTCATTTCTTATTTTTCGTTTGTTTTTTGTTTTCCCTCTTTTTCCTTTATTTGTTTCTTTTACTAATCAAGGTTTTTTAAATTTCTTTTAAAAACTATTTTTTTAAAGTTCTTAAAATTTAAAATTATTTTTGTTTGAAAAAAATATTAACATATACTGCATCTGTACGTCTCAAATAAATAATTTTTTATTTTAAAATAAGAAATAAAATAAAACTAAAAATAAAAATAAATATTATTTTTGGGCATCCCAATTCCGAAGATTTTTTAGACATTTTGAAATAAAATAAGAAATAAAATAAAACTAAAAATAAAAATAAATATTATTTTTGCATGTTTCTTTTTTTTCATTTTGTTTTTCCAAATTTTTATTTTTATTTTTTATCCTGGATTTTCTTTTTGAACTTACCAAATAAATTATTCAAGAAAACAAAAAGTGATAATGTTTAATTTGAGATAGATGAAGTCTATGTTGTTTTTTATTCATTTCAAACACCAAGAGTTTTTAATTTTTTTACAAAAAATTGAAAAGATTTTTAAAAAGTTTTCTAGGAAAATAAACAAAGAGTTAAAAGTAGAGTTAGAAAACAAAAAAAACAAATAATAAGAGAAAAAGAATTGTTGAAAAATGATTAGAAGGTGTATGAGTGCAACATTTTGAAACCATGAAAACTTTAGAAATAAATTTTGAAAATAGAAGGGATATTATATAATTTTTCAAACTACTCGACTTATTTGGCCTTTGCCACTATATTAGAGCATTCACAATGGCAAGTAACAAATAAAATGACACACGATGACATAGAAACTTTCAACCAATGAAAAACAGTTCAGTCAGCGTGTGGCATGAGAGTGGAGTGGCATGTCATGCAGTGGCAAGTCATTGTTTTTATCAATTTTACTATTTTTGCACATTTTAATTATTTAAATTTATTTTATTTATATTTTTTTCAAATAAAAAATAAAAATATTTCAAAATTATTTAAATCATTTAAATTTATTTTTTTTATATTTTTATAAACTATACTCTTTTTAAAAATATTTCTTATTTTAAAAAAATTGCATTTTTTTCAAATTTTACATTTTTTACATGTCTTATTTTTGCTACAGAGTATTAAAAATGAATTTACTTAAATTTTTTCCAAAAAATACATCTACCTTTAAAAAATCTTTTATTTTATGGAGAAAAAAAAAGAAAACAAAAATATTGCCTCACCCATTACTTGCCAAGCATGGCAAATCACTATAGCCTTGCGAGGCATTCTACTTCATGTGCTTATGTGGCAGGCGTGGCAGTGGCACAGCAACGCCACTGCCAGTGCTCTTACTTGTCGAGATTTGATACCATTAAGTAAAATGTACCATTATCCATCTATCTCATATCATTGATTAATTGAAGTTTATATATGGACTTAGAGATTATATGTTAGATTAAAATCATTTAGTTGATGCGTCACATACAAAAATTGAGTGATACTTTCATGATTTCAAAGTCTACATTTAAAATATGGATATTCTCACATTTTTCGTGGGCGTGCATGTGAATATTTTTTACAAAACGCTCACTTTTTTTATGCTACAAATACACCAAAGTTTATAAAATGAGCATGGACCTTAAATCCACGAATGTGGAAAGAGATTTTGGGAGGGAGAGATTACTTAAAAACTACAATTCAAAAAGAACTCGATATTACTCCTAATTATTTATTGTCAAAGTGCGTAATAATTTGACTAAAATGTCAAGTTGTATACCAAATTTTAAAATTGTATGCTGCATTCTCTTAATATAATTTTGAAATATTTGCACTAAATAGCACTAAAACTTAAGTCATTTTTCTAAATAACACTCAAATTGTTTTATTCTCTAAATAGCACATAATAATGTCCATAATATCCAGTGATGGTGAACATTTGCTTGAATAATGACTAAGCGATAATGACTAAAAGTGCTATATTAGGAAAAAAAACACACGTCATCCTATATTTTAATCAATTTCTATACATGGGTAACATAACATGATATTGCTTGGTGCTGCATGTACTATACATATGTATGTGCTTCCTGCAGCTCAACTACTTGGTCTGCCATTGATTCCGGCCTACTCCGAAGCTTCGGGCAATCAAGACCGGATGCGTTTCGGAGTTAACTACGCCTCTGCTGCTGCCGGCATTCTTGACATCACCGGCCGGAACTTTGTAAGTAGTACCCAGCAGCTAGCCCACTCTCATAACTTCAATTTTAAGGCCAACTTAACACTGATCACAGATTTGTGCTCAGCTCTAATGTGTTTTTCTAGTTAATACAAATATATGAAGTTTATTTTGGGACGATTATATATTTGGGATGTGCAGGTTGGACGGATTCCATTCAACCAGCAAATCACCAACTTTGAGAGGACACTGGACGATTTCGCGGCGAGCCTGAGAGCGCCAGACGTTGCGGAGGCATTGTCACGCTGCCTCTTCTTCGTCGGAATGGGCAGCAACGACTACCTCAACAACTACCTCCTCCCCAATTACCCCACCAAAAACCAATTCAACGCCCAACAATACGCCGATCTCTTGGTCCACCAGTACACCCAACAGCTCTCGGTGACCTTAATATTCTCTCTTGTAATCCCGATATATATAGGGGGATAAAACCCCCATTATTCAATCAATATAATCAATTATTGTCAAAATGTAAATGCAGAGGTTATACAATCTCGGAGCACGAAAATTTGTGATCGCGGGGCTTGGGGTGATGGGATGCATCCCGAGCATCCTGGCACAAAGCCAAACGGGACAGTGCTCGGAGGCGGTGAACCAGCTGGTTCTACCCTTCATCTCAAACACCAAGACGATGCTCAACAACCTGAACGCCAACCTCCCGGGTTCCAGATTCATCTACATTGACATCCGCAACCTGTTCCAGGATCTGCTCCTCAACTACAGGAGGTATGGGTTCAGCGTGATCGACCGCGGGTGCTGCGGGATAGGGAGGAACAGAGGGCAGATCACGTGTTTGCCGTTCCAGACGCCGTGTGCCGAGAGGAATCAGTATGTTTTCTGGGATGCGTTTCACCCCACAGCAGCAGTCAACATCTTGTTTGCCAACAGGGCTTTCACTGGCGGAACTGATGTTGTTTACCCCGTTAATATCCAGCAACTTGCCACGCTTTGAGCTTTAAATTTTCGGCCATCAGTTCACATTCACTTTATTAGAGTTTAGAAGCACTACGTACTCTATATGTACTCACTCACTCTGGCCACAACTTGTTGAACTTTTGCCACACTGATACTATGATATGTGGTTTTCAAGACAACAGAAAAGGCATCATAATCACTTAATTTGTTGCTTCCAAGACTAAAAGTTGTTTGTTTTCCCTAATCAGAGCTAGACTCTCTTCAGTCCAATTCATTCTTATTAGTTACACCGTATTACTTAATCTTGTCATCCTTTAAGATACAACTTTGAATTTAGAAAAAATTGCTTCATATAAAACTAAAAGGTATACGTTTCTTTGAATAAGACCAAATATGTTTTATTATCTTTGACACATATTTCCACATGATTTGCCATATATTTCCTCACTAGTAACAACTGTTGGATAATGACTGATTATACGAATGACTCGATAATGTGATCATTAGAAACAACTGTTGGATAATGATTGGTTATTTCAATGACTATTCAAATTATTTTTAATAATGCCTTGCTCTACTTGAATTTTGTAATAGGTCATTTTTCTCAAAGGCAAGACATTTTAGAATTTTCCGTTGTCAAACATTAGAGTAGATAAGACTCGTCCTATTTAGAGAAAAGTGATATGTTTATATTCCGTTTGCGTAAATTACCCTTGAATTTAATTTAAAGTAAGATCATATCAGATGATAGGACTAGCTTATTTTCTACAATGTCCCACCTTTACCTCTCTTTGTCAAATTCTTATGTAGTCTTTAGATCCATACTTAATTTATACACTTACGTACATAGCATTATTATATGTGTTGGGTCTTATAAAAGAAAGAGATCGAACTATTAGTCTATGAAAAAAATGAGAAACTAATAATGATCTCTCTCAAAGAATTAACCCTCCTTAGAGAAGAGTTAATAGAGTTAATTCTTTGGGAGAGATCATTAGTTTTTCTCACGTTCTTCTTTTCATTTTCAAGCGACATGCTGTGATAATGTTCTTGTTTGTTGGTGTGTGGTCGGTCCGCAAAACTACCACACGCGATAGCAGTTTTATTCTAGAACGAGAATACCCATGTTTTTTTGGTGTGGTAGGCGGGCACCGTACTACTACCTTAAGGACAGCTCTGGCAACTCCGCTGCCCTTCTACATTGTTTACATTTTATAGGTTCTATTCACAGTGACCTCCCGACATTCTTTCCCAGGTCATAATGTTCTCACTAGTATTCTATCTTTGGCGATATTGTCCTCGGTGGTGTTCTAGAGACCTCGCCACTTCTCACAGTTGTTTCCTAGTCCCAAACTAATTTGCTCAGTCAAGACATAATGTTCGTAAACTTATTTCTAATTTTGTTTATTTTTTAATATTCTAAATAAATTATAAATTATAAATTTTATTTATTATTATATTCTAGGATTATCATCTTCCAAGTCTGTTGTAATCCATACGATCACATTTGTAACAGTCTTAAGGTAACAGTTATATCTGTGAAAGTTTTGGCTAGATTGGGTGGCCTTATTGGGCAAACCACTCCGATTATCATTCCATTTGGATTAAGTGTGGTTGTGGGGTCAACTCTGATCATCACCTTTGGTGGACTGAGCGCAACTATGAGCTCCACTCCGATAAGTTCTGATCTTTTGTTAGACCGACCGCAGGGTCGGCCCCAACAGTCACACTATTTAGAATGAACATGGCTTCTGCCATCCCAGTCAACTCTCTTGGACCGCACGTGGCTTTTGCCATACCGGTCATTTCTATTTGTGGACCGAATGTGGGTGCTTTTGCATCTGCACTTGTCGGACATCCTACTATGACAATGCCTACGAACTCTGTCAAGGAACCAAACAGAGTTCACAGGCGTCGACTATAAGATGTGGCAGCAAAGGATGATGTTTTGGCTGACCATGATCAACCTTGCGAGGTCCTTGAGCGAGGACCCCCCTGCTATGGGGGAGAGCGCAGACGAGCCAATAGTTCAGGCTACGGAGACATGAAATATGAATAACTTGAAAGTTCGTGGGGGCGCAGCGGAAATCACCAATTGAAAACTATGCAAACAAATCAACCAACTATGCTGTAGAGAAGATGCTGCAGAACTGTCACAGTAACAGATGACGGACAGTGTGCTATAACACTTCTTTGTCACAAGCACGCACACAGAAGCAGATGATGCAGAGGATGTTACAGCGCCTACTGGGCAGAATGCTGTAACTCTAAAATGCGTAAAAAATAACACCAGATATGTTTACGCAGTTCGAAGCAAATTCTCCTAATCTGCGGGGCCCACGTCCGTGTAATAGCCCTCCACTAAATCACTATATGCAAGTTACACCGGTACATAACAGCATGATGAGACACTCTTCTCCGAATTGTTATGACAAAACTTCTAATCTAGGATTTCTAACTCGAACTCTGTTCAGATCCGCTTCGGCTATCACATCTCCACCGAGATCACGAAGACAAACGTGTTGACAGCCCTCTCCTTAAGCTCTGGTTCATCTTCTGGACATCACGATCTGTTTGGCGTTGAAGATCTCCTCCTTCATGTTGATCGTGACCTTCTTCACGCACGGGAAGCTCCGGGACGCGACGGGAATGCTCTACATCAGCGTATATTCTTTGTTTTCCCTCTCAATCGCTTCACGTAATTCCCAGGGACTTGCTGCGTTTTTATAGGCTCCTATTAACACAATCCTAGTAGGAATAAGATAGTAGAAGTTGGTTTGAACTCTACTTCCTTAATCTTGATCCACAAGTAGCCTAAAGAGTTGGGATTCCTTAGCATGTACAGCTGGAGTTATTATCATGTAATCACAATCCCAATAGGTCTCTAATTCAGATTGCAGCTTAAAATCTCGTGCTCAGACCTCTCATCCCGAACAGTGTGTTGCAGCACCGTGCTATAGCATCTTCTGTGTCAACCTCGAAAATAGCAGCAACTCTAAAAGTCTAAATAAAATAAACCTCTCCTAACAAACAGAGGTTTTTACCTAGTAAAATACCTAACAAATATGGGATTCTATTTTTCCAAAAGATTAGCCAACACCATGGAACTAACATAACTATCTATGTCTCATTCGCAAAGTGGTTATGGACTACACTATCCAACAAATACCAAACTAGGGACACTGGTGAGAAACAATTCGTTATCGATATGGTTTTGGATTTTAAGATGGTGGATTCCCAACTTGTGGTTAGTCAAGTTAAAGAAATGATCCTTATTTTAATGAGTGTAGTCATGAGGGAATGAGAGTTAGTGAAGAATTCTATGTGGGGTGATCATTCATGTGCTCCTGCTGGCATGGGGTGAGTCTCGAGGCTTTCTCAAGCTCAAACATAACGAGATGACCTTAGATTAGGTACTTTTTCGTCTCCAGATCCTGAAAGAGGGTCTGGCTTTCAAGAAGAAAGGAACTTCTACTAAGGCCAATGTGGTGGAGCATTCATGAAAAAAGAGATCTCCCAAAGAGCCCAAGACGAACAAGGATAAGAAAAAACTTGGTCCTAAAAGAGGCATCGCGAAGACTATGTTCACAGAAAAATGCTACAATTGTTGCATCACGGGCCACTTTTCTTCAGAGTACTGTAAGAAGCCTTAGAAGAAAAAGAAAATGAACGAAGAGGCCCTATGAGGAGACGTCACGAAAAGTAATCTTCGGAGTTCGTAAGAAGCCTCATAAGAAAAGGCAAATGAAAGAAGAGGCCCTTTGCCTCGGGCTAAATTCTATAGATCTCTATGCGATTGTGATAAAGACCAACTTGGTCGGGTCTAACCCGAAGGAGTCATGGGTTAACACCGGGGCCACTTATCACATCTTCTCTAATCGGGTCATGGTATTTGACTTCAAAGATACTTCTGGCGATAAGGTGTGGTTGGCGATTCCACCAATCTAAAGTTCAACGCGTGGGAAAAGTGAAGCTTAAGATGACATCCAGTAAGAAGCTCAGGCTGAATGATGTTTTGTATGTCCCGGACAGACACAAGAATTTGGTGTCTAGCTCACTACTCAACAAACATGGCTTCCGCATTGTGTTCGAGTCTAGTAATCTAATATTGAGTAAGAAGGGTATATTCATAGAAAAAGGCTATGTTTCTAATGAGATTTTAAAGTTTAATGTACTCATTGTTGTTGAGAAGATTAATAAAATTCTCGTTTCCCATGTGCGTGAATCTTCTAATTTGTAGCATGGTAGACTAGGACATATTAATTATGCATCTCTTCAAAAATTATTTAACATGGAATATATATCCCTAAATTTTAAATCGACTTATGCCACCAATTTGAGATGTGTTTTGAAGTAAAGTCAACATGAAGTTCGTTTCACACGATTCAACGACCTAGTCAGCCACTAGATATGATTCACATGAATTTGTGTGATTTCAAAACAACACCTTCGAGAGCTGGTAACAAATATGTTATCGCATTTGTTGATAATAACATTAAATACTCTTATATTTATTTACTAAAAAATACAGACAAGGCGTAGGTTACTTTCATTTGGTGTAAGAATGAAGTTGAAAATCAATTCAATCGCAAAATTAATTAAAGCAATTAAGAGTGATATGAGCGGGGAGTAGGGCTGGACACGGTCTTGGTACAGAACTGGTGCCAGCGCCGGTACCGGCAGTTCTGCCACCACCGGTATTGGTGATGAAAACACCGACACAATACGCAAAACCGGTACCGGAATTGCCCTCCACGGTACCGGTATTAATTTTTTGTGACCGGAACCAGCGGTACCAGTACTGATTCCGGTCCAAATTTGATTTTTTTGTTGACTTGCTAACACATTTGTAGGCTGTGGGGAGTGCCTCCAACGACTCTATAACCGTTTGGAGGGGGTGGGGGGTTTGGGTGGTGGAAGGGGGAGGGGTATTTTTACCTATAAATACTCGCCTAATTTTTTTAATTCACTCATCAATCTCTCTCTTAAATCTTAATCCCTCTTAATATCTACTAAATTTTCTCTTTTATAAAGTATATTATATATATATATATATATATATATATATATATATACATACATATAAATAGTCCCAGGCTAAGTGCTTTACATAATA